CGTGTCTGTCCATGCCCACGAGGAGCCGCGTCAACAGGGCACCGTGAGGCTCTAATGCGCGATGAGGCGGCCCCGAGAGCTCCTCTCTTCTCAACCGTGATGGTTCCTCAGGTGCCCCAAGAGCTGAGCACTGCCAAGGGGAACACGGTTCTTCTAGAAACCACAGCCTAAAGCACAGGCTGCAAAACAGAATCCAACGGCCCCGAGCCACCAGGCAAGCCACGAGCAACCAGCGCCCGCGGAACCAGCCTTTGTGGGGATGTAAACGCTTCGCAGAGGCTTTTTTTTCAACTGGATCCTCTGCAGAGCAACCCACGTCCAACCTGCAGCAGAGTCCTCGCAATGTCCCGCAGCACCAAGGTCTCCCGTGGGATCCCAGGCAGCCCTGGGCTCTTTCAGGTGCATTTCAGAGCCACCCTCATGTTCGCAAAGCTCCCCCGTGGCAGGCACCGATGTGCCCAAATTATAAACTCCAAAACTCAAAAGAGCGAACCACAGAGGGATCTGTCAATCCTCCGCTTCTCCTGGGGAAAATATTTGGGTAAGAATGTCAGAAACTTGGCTACATTGTTCCGGAAACCCACAAAAATTTTGCAAAGTGGTCGGGTCTGCTCTAATTGATTTCAGACAAGAGGATTTGATGGCATATCAGGAAATGAAAGTTTGCCAGTAAGTGGAGGCTCATTAAAAGCAGCTCGTTAAAAGAAAAAAAAAAATACAAATCTAATTATAGCTGAACTACAGTAGAGAATTCAGCTCTCCTCCCCACGGCATAACACGGTGCAGCCACTAAAGTGCTGGCTGCTGCAGGCAGGGATGAGGCAGGGCCGGGAAACCTGAGCTCGGCAGGGAGAGCTCCCCATGGACACCCTTGGACTGGGGGAAACAGCAACGCAAAACCCATCGAGGTGCTCGGATGCGACTGAAACGGCTGTCTGGAAGGGCTGCCACCAACGCAGGGCCGGGGCTGCGGGGGACGGAGGGGAATTTAGCCAGGAGCTGCAGGGGAAGACCCAGAGCTCCTCAAGCCGCTTGGAGCACCGCGGTTCCGCCTCCATCACCAGGTGGGAGTGTTGTTCTCCCGGAAAGCCCTTCGGAGAGCTCTCCCGTGCCCGGAGGCTCCGACATAACCATCGAGCGCAGCCCAGCAGTTTATGTCTTGCTAAGATTCCTAGTGCCGGTGCCAGGAATAAATGCATAAAGATTATCCGTGCTTGTCAGAAGGAGGGGGAGAGGAACTCGATGGGAGCGGCAAGCACATATGGCTCAGGATGACCATCGCGGGGACGGCGATCAAAGCAGCCCGCTGCTGGGGGACACACAATTTGGGGGGGCTCGCTCAGCTTGCTGAGGACTTTTGCAACCCTTCCTGTCGGCAAAGCCCGGGCAGAGGCTTCTTTGCCACTTCTGGACCAACCAGAGAGAGGGGAAGAGATTTTTTTTTTGCACATCCTTTCCATAGAAATGTGTTTAATTACCCCAAGAAGGCCTCCCAAAGACATAGGGGAAAAGCATTAGGCTGTTACAGCCACGTACAATTTCTCCCCTGCTCCGGCGCTCGCTCCGGGAGGAGCGGGATCCGTTCCGGGCCGATTGGTTTCCCTCACTCGCCTTTCTCCTGCGCCGACGGATGCACAGACGGACAAACCGCTTCCTGAGCCTCGCAGACAGGAACCCCCCTCGCGCGCAACCGCACGGCCCAGATGTGACAACTTTCCTGGAGGACCAGGTCGGTCGGGGAAGGAGAGGAATCCTGTCCAAGGGGAGGGGAGGCCATGGCACGCGGGGGAGCTGGTAGGGATGGACCAGCTGACATACTGATCACTGTGAAAAAATGAGAAGAGGAGGAGAAGGGAGGGGAGGATTTAGCTGCCAACAACCACTTGAACCTTCTTCCAACTAATCAGAGCATTTTTGTGGGAAGGAAGAATCGTGAAATTTGTTCAGAAGGAAGATATAAACCAACCGAGCAGCCAACAGTAAAAGAACCATTTCCTTATGGAAGGACAGCTTGATTTTAATGGCACCAAGCATATGCTGCTCCCGTTAACTCCACCAGTCAGTCCCCACCAGCTCGGAAAAAGTCAGCTCTGCTCTTAGTATTCTTGGCTACCGCAAGCTGAGCCCCGACCCCTCTCAGAAGCTCCTCTCCTCGCCTGCAATGGGGAACAGCCCGATTTTGCATTTCTTGCTTCAAATGCGAGCTGGAAATATGCACCATTGCCCTCTGAAACAAGCGGGACCATGGGGGACACCAGCATTGCGTCCACGGCTCCTAGGGAGGCAGAGGGGAAGGGGGCTCCTTCCACCAGGGCGAGAAGATCCTCTGTGGTTCCCACTGCTCCAGATGTTCCTGCTGCTGCTCCACAGGGCCAAGCAGGACTGTTTCCCTCCACCAGCATCGCAGCTGCTTCTTAACCTTCTTGGCTGCCTTTCCCTAAGCACTGATACCTCTGAGGATAACAAGCGACACAAACGAGGTCTTTCACACTAATTAAACCGTACAGATTGAAAATAAAATGAAAACATCCTGCTTTGCCTTGCAGGGAGAATGGGAATAGTATCTGCTAAGCAAAAATGTAAATCCAAAAATGAAAGGAAATCTGGGGTGTTCGTGTATTCAAAAGATCCTAGCGAGCAGGACAGCAGCCAAGCGGCAGGTAGTGGGTCCGTGTGTCTGGGAAATGCAAGAAGCCTTTGAGCTACCTCTCTGCAGTATTTTTTCTCTTCCTGCTCTACATTCGCAGGCAGGGAGGAAGGTCACCTGCACACTCATCCTCCAGGAGCACCGGCTCAGCTCCAGTTCCGCACGCAGAGCTCCCAGTTAGAGAGCTCCCTCCATCCAGAAATTCCAGACACGCGTGCCTCCGGAGAGGCCGCTCCGCTCACAGACAGGCTGGGATCAGGAGGCAGCAACAAGCGGAGAAACTTGCCCCAAGCACAGGAGAAAACAACCAGCAAGACGAGACAGAGAGAAGCGATTTCCTTTAGGCAGTGAAAGCCTTTAAGACAAAAAAAGGCAGACCGCCCCCAAGGTTTTGTCATTCTAATCTCTTAATGCCCTCGTGGCAATCGGATACACAGCAACACCAAGTTGGGCAGCTCCCCTGCGGGGCAGTTGCTCGGGTGCAGGGTTGAAGCGCTGCGGTGCAGATCGGCCCCCGGACACTCCTGACCAGCCGCCCTCCTGCGCGCAGGGGTTTCACCAGGTGCTGCGCGGGGCTGCAGGGACCCTGAGCCAGGCGGGCACAGGGGAAGGTTCAGGACAGCCGCGAGGCCCCAGCACTACAACAGCAGCAGCGACAGCACTGGGGAAGGACACTTGCTGGAGAGGAAAAAGATGTCGGGATTGTGCTGCACTGCGTGAGCCTGATCGTGTTTCCAGCTCTGCCACGGACCACAGGGAAACGCTGAGGACAGATTTTTCCTCCTCTCTTTTAGATATCTGGAGATGCCAGAGCGCTCACACGCACGGTTTCCCAGGCTCCCTCACCCTGCAGCCAGGGCCCCTGGGCACAGCAGCAGTCCCCCCATATCACAACAGGCAGCACAGGCACAGACCGCGGCTGGTGGCCCCAGGCATTGCCACCTCCTCTCTGAGGACACGCAGGGCACAACTGAGACACATGTTCCCCTCCAAACCCCGGCCTCTCACCTGCTTCTTCTTCAGCTTGGAGATCTGCTGCTCCACCATGGTGATCTCGCGGTCCACGCGATCCATGTTCTGAATGAGCTCCTCCTTGGAGAGCCGGGCTGGCAGCAGGTCCAGCTCGGAGTCCGGGTGAGGAGGGCTGACTGGAGACACGGGCTCCAGTTTGCCAGGCAGGCCGCGGTCCTGGGGAGCACAAAACAACCACATCAGCTCTTTCCCAGGAGATTTCGGATCCTCTCATCCTCCCACGTGAGCTGCCACAGTGCCCTGGCCTGCTCCCAGCCCGCTCTCACACACACACACCCCTTGCAAAACCTGCGAGACTAAGCAGGACCAGCTGCCAAGTCCCATCTCCAGCACATGCTGCATCCCTCCGCATCTCCACCCAGAGCACCAGGTCAATCAGCAGCTTCTCCTCCTGCCAAAGCCTCTCGGAGGCTCCCACCACCTTTGGCTCAAGCCACATCCCTATGGGAACAATAAACCATCTACAGACAGGTCGAGCTCCTGGCTGCGGAGCTCCCTCCATGTCTCAGCAGCAGCTTGAGGCTGCCTCTCCTTGTCAAAATGACCCTCAGACACCAACAGGGCCAGGCTGGAGAGAAGAGCAGAGCTGACACAGATACGTGCACCAGGGGTGAGCTACGAGGTCGCTGGGAAGGAGGGATGGATCCCACCTCCAGCTGCGTCTCCATGTCCTGCTCTGCCAGCAGCTCTCAGTGACGGATGCCAAGCACATCCTCTTGGAAGAGGGAGAGGATGGAGCCATGCAAGGTCAGGTGAGAGGAAGACAGACTGAAGTGACAACAAGCAGCTTTTTGCAGGTTCCAGGTGGAAACAGCTCCTGGTTCAGCAAGACCTTGCAAACCAGAGGCCATCGGGATCAGTGTAACCCCCACAACCGCCACAAAGACAACGGAGCTCTAATTACCACGAGCAGAGGGAGAACTATCCAAGGGCCCTCCAAGCGCTGAGCTCCATTGCTTCCCCCAGTGGAGCACCGACATGGCTGGCACCCCTGAGCCACTCTCACCCCGAGGTGAAAGCGGGTGCAGCGGACGACGCACCTCGACAGCAACAGGCAGCGCGAAGGGAGGCGGCCGCCAGCACAGGGGGCAACGGCGCAACCTGCGCGCGGCGCCGTGAGGTGACTGCGACAGGCCCCGGGCTGCCCCGGCCCGGGCGCCGCTCGCTCAGGTCCTGGCGGCTCCCCAGCCTCCTCATTAAAAGTTAATCCCTTCGCTCGCTTCGCAGGGGATGGATTTCACCTGCTGGAGGGGCAGGAAAAGGAGCGGCCGCTGGGGG